CTGTCTGAGAAAGTGAGCTATTGGGTGAAGCTGGATCCTGGTCAGATTGAACGAAGCCATGCCCAGGTGGCGTCCTCCTGAGGCAGTGTGCACCTGGCAGCCTGCCTTGTGTCAGCTGTGGCTGGTGGTGCTGAGACAGTGTATATTTGGTAGATAATTGCTTGACCTGTTAATTCAACACTCAGCATATTATCATTTTTATTATAACCCTCTGCATATTCCTGAGTGCTTGAAATATTTCCTTTGCTATTATGATGTGAGCCACATATTATTTTGTATAATTGGGGAAGGTACCCTACAGACAAAAATGTGTGTAACTGGCGCCTGCTAATAGTCAGCAGCAGCAGCAGCACTGTGCCCTCGCGGTGGACACCACTCACAGCTGGATGCTGGTGTTCCCCCACCAAGCCTCTCCCCTCCTGAGGTGCACTTGCTGCCATAGTTTTAGCGTGTTTTTCCATAGAAAACGTAGTCTTCGTCTGCCTCTGCTTTGAACTGTGTGAGAGCAGTCGTGAGTGCAGGGCAGTGCGCTCTACGCTTGCTGTGTGCATGTGTTCTCGGGTGTGACGTGAGGGCTCAGCCACGCGGCAGTGCAAGCGCAGCTCTCTGGCTTCTTGGTCGTGGGGGAGGGTGCTCCAGTTCACGAGCACAGAGGCACTACTGTAGTTCTCTTTCTTCTTCTTATGGATGTGTGGGTTGCTTTCCAGGTTTTATTTGCTTTGTCTTGTGGTAGTTTGAATATGATTCTGCTAATATTCTTCTGTTAGGTTAAACTGTGTGAAACTGCCATTTTATACATGAAAACGGTCCCAACTTAGAGTTTCATATAATTCAAATCAATTCCCACCTCTTAGTGCATAATTCCATGATTAAATCTGAGGAAATTCCTTCATCAGAGGCTCGATCCATCTTCAGCTTTTGAGTGAAAACTGAGACACAGACAGACTCTACCAGCTCATGCCCCTGCTTAGAAGCTACTTGTCTACCTCCTTGCAGCATTCGGTAGATGTTTTTATTTGGTAGACGCATTAGCTTTCCATCGGTGTGACAGCATGCCTGAGACGATCAGCTCGCGAGGAGACTGCACGGGGTTCAGGCACAGTGCTGAGCTCCATCTCCTTGCAGCCTGCATGAGGCACAGCACGAGGGCAAATGTGTGGTGGAGAAAGCGGCCCGCCTGCTGACAGCCAGGGTGGAAGCAGACAGAACTGTCTCTTCTGGAGGTGGGCTTGCACTGACCTCCCTGCCTGTCACTAGGTGCTGTGGAGTCGCGACCTCCCCAAGTGCCTCAGGCTGGGGACCAAGCTGTGCACATGGGCCTTTAGGTGGCACTCCAGGTCCTGCCACAGCTCCGGCTGTGGAAGGTGGATTCGATTTGTGGCTCTGATTGCCACGGAAGTTAAGCGTCATTCTGTATGCTCATTTGCCTTCCGTGTCCTGTATGTGTGGTGGCTGCTCACACCTTATGCTCATTTGTGTACCAGCTGCTGTCTTTGCTTGACTAACTGTAGGACTTCTTTTCTAAAGCTAAATGTGATATTGTCAATAGTGTGTGTGTGTGTGTTGGAAATGTCTGTTCTTAGTTTTTGGATTGTCTTTTCACTTGCAATTTATTTTTGTGCATGCTGTTGTTATTTATGCTACTGAGGATTGAACTCAGGGCCTTGTGCATACCAGGCAAGTGCTCTACCACTGAGTCACTCCAGCCCAGAAATGGAGGAGTCGTGTGTGTGTGTGTGTGTGTGTGTGCGCACGCGCGCGCGCATAGTGGGAGGTGTGGATCTCATTTATTGTCTCCTAGCTGTCTAGCACCAGATTCCTGTCCTTGTTTTACAGCGACAAGAACTTGGCTGAGTTGTTCCTGTGCCTGAAGCCTGGTGGGAGGTGGTACTTGCCCAGGTCACTCAGAGTTAGCAGAGAGAGTCCCTGTGCAGGGTGCTGAGGGTGCCGCATGGCTTCTCGTGCCTGATTGTGGTAACATGTGAAGACAGCGCTGAACTAAAGAGACAACTTGCGATCAAAGGGGAAGAAGAAGTTAACGATTTGGAAGATGTTTTTGGCCTTGTAATAAAGGAAAGCACAGAGAATTTGAGACACACTGCCGGGGTGTGGCCACATAGATTCTCAAACTCACAGGTTGGGAGGTGGTGGGCAGTTATCAAGGGAAGTTCTGCCAGCATCCTGGCGAGTTCTGAGGCTGCCACTCCTCCTACCTGAGGCCAGGGTGCTGGCTGTGGGGGAGGAGCAGCTTCCGGGTCCCCGCTAGACTCCCGGAAAAATGAAATTCTGTTGTCTCTAGCAGAGCAGTCGCCCGCCCCTCACTCATTTTTAGGGCCACTCAGTCTTGACTAACGCAGCTTCATAGTCAGGGCACTCAGCAGTGAGCACAGTGTGGGAGCGAGGGCCTGAAGGTGGGAACACACTGAGCCTTGGGTCTGTGAGTGCTCCGGCACATGCCCTACGTGGCACCAGCTGCACAGGGTGCCTGGTGCAGACGGGTGCTGAACTTTGTCATGCACCTCTTCTACGTCATGGGGCTCATCCCATTTATTATGTTAATGTGTGAATGATGCGTATTTATTTATTGTATTTAGGGAAGAGTCTACAGGGTGTTCAGGGTCTCACTACTAGATTGGATTCATCGGGATCCACCTGTTTACAGCCTCCCGAGAGTTGGAATTACAGGCATGCGCCACCACACCCAGTCTCAATTGCCATCTCAGCATAGCCCGGGGGCAAGGCCAGCACAGCAGCCAGCAGATCGAACCAGCGTCACCCCCCCCCCCCATGCAGGTGCTTTAATCCACTGAGCTATTTGGCTGGCCCTATTTATTATTGAATGATGGGAAAACCAGGGTACTTAGATAGCACCTACTTTGATATGATGCAAATCATTTTTATGTCTTGCTGACTTGGGTTTGCTGATATTCAGTTAAGGCTGCTAGTATCCATGTTTAGGAGGGCCTTTAGGGCTAAGGAACTCCCTGGAAATGTTTATTTGATCTCATCCTAGGCATAGCTATTCCTTAAAATTCACCCCCCCCCCAAAAAAAAAAACAAAACAAACAAAAAAAAAAAACCTAGAGCTTGAATCCAGGGCCTTGGTGCAGAGCTACTTCCATCCCTTTTTATTTACCTATTTTTAAAACATTATTTTGAAACAGGGGTCTCACTCACTAAGTTACCTGGGTTAGGTAACTCACTCACCCCCAGAGCTGAGATTACAGGTGTGCACTGCCACACCTGCTGAAAACTGCCTGGCAGGGCTTCCTAGGCTGCTCGATGGTGTATCACCTGCTTAGACAGTATGGTCTAATTTTTAGTACTGGAGAGGGAAATTTTTTTTTTTTTAGGTATTTGCTACTGAGAGTTATTTCTCTACAATACCATTTTTTCCTACTGCTGAAAAAATGGCCAAGTAAAATCATTTTAGTGTATGTTTTCCTCTTGGAGAAGAGAATCTATTGATTCTTTCCTGACATTACTTTTTTAATTTAGTGGGCATATGTTTGTAACCCAGGCATCTTACAGTCATCTTGGGGAGTGCATAGTGCAGCAGGTGGTTTTCTCCTCAGCTCCCTGCCCCTCCTCCTCTCCTCTGGCTCCTGTCACCTTCTCCACACCTGTTGATACTATTTACCCTGCACGTGTTATGTACTGATTGGGGTTATCAGGGTCCTGTGCATGGGGCATTGCTGTTCTCTGATTTCCCCTTCTGCTGCCCCTCTCCTCCCACCCTTGCTCCTGTGGACCACTCCCCATTGGATGAGATCTGTCACATTGTCCCTTGCTGTCCATCCTTCATTTTCTTTGTCTTTGCCTCAATCAATTGAGGGCTGCCACCTGGTACTCGAGCTGGTGGCTGCTTTGTTTTGCTCCACACTGCTTTCCAGGAGCATCCATTTTCCTACAAATGCCTCCAATTTGTCATTCCTTATAGCTGAGTGGTATTCCGTTATTGGTAAATGCTACATTTTGTTTTTCCAATCATCTGTTGATGATTTCAGGATTGGGCTGCTTCCAGGGCTTAGCTAGTATGAACATGCTGCTATAAACATTGGTCTGCATGCAGCACTGTAGCGTGATGACTTAAGCTCTTTTGGAAAGAAATGCAGCAAAAGATTCACTCACTGAAGAGATACCCTACAGAGTGGGAAAAGACTTCCCAGCTACTCCACAGGTAGAGGACTAATATTGAATATACAAAGAACTAAAAAAAAAAAAAAAGCCACCTAAAATTAAAGACCAAGTCAAAAATGGGCAAGAGAAATAAATATACTCTGCACAGAGGAAGAAATGCAAATGGCTAACAAATATAGAAGAAATGCTCAACATCTGTGACCATTAGGAAATACAAATGAAAACAGCACTAAGATTCTGTCTTGCTCCAGTTAGAATGGAAATCAAACAATAACAAGTGCTGGCAAGGCTGTGGCAAAAAGGAACCCTCCTGCACTGTTGGTGGGAATGCGCACTCGTACAAGTCACTGTGGCGATCCCTCAGAGAACTGAAAGTGGAAAGTCCACCTGACCGTGCTCTCCCTTGCGAGAAGTCTTCCCAAGGAGCTCAAGTCCTCTGCTGATTCTTGCTTCATAGTCATATGATTACACCTTCAAGGGATATGGTGTACCTAGGATTTGAAAAACAGAAGTATTATGGTTTATTTAATTAGTACATATAATACTTGTGATTTAAAACTTCAAGCCACAGAAATGAAGTGCTTGTGGGTGTAACTTTGCAGTGTGCTGTGGGACCCATATGAAGTGGGATATGGGATCCATCCCCTTGGAAAGGATAAGTGAGTTTTCTGGATGCTGCGGTAATGGGACGGGGAGATGGTTGGTTGTAGTCCTTTCCCAGCAGCCTTCCGGGCGTGTGTGGTGGGGGCAGGGTACTTCTAGCTCAGCTTCCTGGGACACTGTGTTTGTTTCTGTGTAGGGTTGGGTTGGCTTCTCTCTTGCCCTCACCTGTGGCCTCTGCCTTGATCCCCCAGGTCTCCATCCACTGCCTGTGTCTAGCGCTGAGCCATGGGAAGAAAGCTGGACCTGTCAGGCCTGACAGATGATGAGACAGAGCACGTTCTCCAGGTGGTGCAGAGAGACTTCAATCTCCGCAAAAAGGAGGAGGAACGTCTCAGGTGAGGGCCACAGTGGCCTGGCAGGGTGGTGGCACTGTGGGAACCAATGTCATGGTGTCCTGCGTGTGGTGGGTCTCTGCGCTATGAGTGCATGCTGTCCCTGGGAGTGCTGCAACGCTCTGCCCTACATGGACAGGCTGGCACCTTTCCCAGTGGCAGCACCATGTCAGCTCAGAAACACGACCAGCCCTTCCTTCCCCAGTCAGCTCTCCTTGGCCTCTGTGGCCATCTTGTAGCTGTGGGTGGGCACTGTCCGTGGTCGGAGTTCACCTGGCCTCTGCCCTTCCCATCATCAGATCCTGCCAGAGAGTGCACAGATGCTAGCACGGGAGGTAAGCGGCACATGGAGAATTAGACTCACAGGGCTCTGCCAGGGTCCTCCTGGCCATGGGTCATGGCTACAGACCTGGTGGAGCATGCAGACATGGGGCTCAGATGGGACACTTGGCCCCGTGCCGCCATCATTCGACAGAGCGGGAAACAGGTGTATCTGATGCCTCTACTGCTGGCCCTTCATCATGGAGCATCCTCAAAGCACTGCTGCAGCTCCAGGAAGCCAAAATCCCCTCGTGGGGAGAAGTCAGGGTGGTACAAGTGCAGCCTGGTGTGTCTCCCCTGGGAACAAGTCGATCTTTCTGCCTCATCTGTCCACACGGTGCCCCTCGCACTCACAGCTTTAGTCACCCTGAGCTCAGGCCCGAGATGGGACCAATGCAGGGTCTGCACAGCTGCGGGCCAGCCCCACATCCCTCCCCTCTAGCCCAGCACTCACTGCCCTGCACCTGCGCCTTGGAGACCCACGGCATGGTCTTCCTGCCTGGACCCTGGGGCCTCTCCACACAACCATCAAAAGTGCCGTCCAGAGAGGACGGAAACCCTTGGGCTGACACTGATGTCCTTTACCTCACTCTGTCTTCATGATTCTCCCCACTGCCTAGTACATGTGAACATATTTGTAGTTTTTCACTTGTCTCTGCCCCTGCCAGGGTGTCACTGTCCTAAATAAATAAAATGTGAGACATGTATAGGGTATAAATATAGATGTAACTTTAAGTGTTTATACACCCTTACTCAAAAATTAAGTAGAAAAAATGAATTTCAGTACTGTAGATGGATTTATTCAAAATATTATCTCAAAATGTGTACACTACAAAGTTATCGATGAGGTATCTTACGTTTGTTATACTAAGGTTTTGAAATCTGATTCCTATTTCACACTTGCAGACCTGCCTCATTTTAAGGGCTTAGCAGCTTCTTGTAGCCAGCAGCGACCACAGCGTTGGTCAGTGGGAAGCAGTAGATGTAAATTCCATGGGGTAGAACTCCTTCTGCTGACTTCTGTTGACCCCTCAGCTAGAGCGGACTTCACACATGGTGTCACCCTTCAGGACACATGTCCCACTGCACGACACTCCAACGTATGTCCCCCACTCACGTGCTCCTGCTCTGAGAGGCTCAATGAATGCGTTTGTGCGGGACTCAGGCACATGTGGGTTGCTCAGCCCCAAAGCATTATTACCCCTCCATGTGCCTTTCTGTGTGTCTGGCAGTCTGAAGGACTTCTTTCTCTGTAGCTCTGTGACATTCCTTTGATGCTTTGTTCAGATAAACCACTAATTATCCACAAGTTGCTAGAACCCTGTCCCTGTAGCAGAAGTTAGTCTTGCTCCCCACACATCTCCTGTACATTGCCAAGCCTCCCCAGCTGACCACGGTGGGGGAGGAAGGGCCAAGGGTGGGGCTTCCCTTCCTCATGTCCCTGAGTACCTTAGGAGCCTGTGCTATGTTGTGGCCTCCTATGGTAGGCCATGTGCACGTGGGCTGGGCAGAGCACTGAGCTCTTAGGGTTACTCATTCCCATGACAGAGGCCGTGAGAAGGGCAGGGGGCCAATGCCTATCACACCAGCCCATGGCTCTGCACATGTTGCATAGGCTTGGGCCCAGCTGAGCGGAGAGCCTGGCACAGTCTGTCCATGTCTCTGGCCTCTTGTGTGTCCATAGGAACATCTCAGGTTCTAGAGTGACAGAGTCAGGAAGGGCTACTGAGTGGTTTCTCCGGTGACTGCTAATTGAGTTGGTTCTGGTGCTCAACTCAAGTTGTGAAGACAATGAGGAGATGCCACAGCCTTTAAAAATTCTCACTTAATACAAGCTGGCCGGAAGTATGTGAGCACCTGATGGGCTTCCAAAGGGTAGTGGTTCTCATGGGCTTGGTCTTTGGGGCAGCAGGGTTTGGCTTGATGAAACTGCTTTCCATAGCCTTTGCTGGCCACTAATTGTGGGGCTTGCTGGACTAATGCATTTTGCACACCACAGGACTGGGGATAGCTGGCTGGGAGGCAGGAGGAAGAGGAGCACGTGGAAGGAGAGCACAGCAGGGTGGGGGCCATCAGTGCCCTCCGGCCCCATGGGAGGGGGCGGGGCAGGGCAGGGCTGTGGGACTGGGTCACTGTCCAACCCGGCCTACACACTTATCCCCAGCAGGCTTACGTGTGAGAAGTGAGATCTGGAGGGGTGTGGAAGCCCGGTCTGGGGAAGCAAGAAAGCCTCTCCTAAAATTCAAAGTGAGCAGTGTTTCTAGTTAGTGATACAGAAACTTCTGAGGCCCAGTTTATTAAAATCAAACAAATCCATTGCTTTCATAAAAGGAATTAATGCTCTTTCTTCATTCAAGCTTCATTTTCATTTTAAACAGATAAACATTTTATTATACAACCTTGATTTTTTTAAGAAGTCTCTATTTCAAAAAGTAAAATTCCTTTGCTCTCACTGCCCTTTGTTTGGGACAGGAAAATGGGTCTGGCAGGCACTCCTGGCACACCCTTTCCTGAAGCTCCAGGTGGGTGTGGGCCTCTGCCCCCAGGCTAAGCATGCTCCAGGGTGCTTTTGGGGACTGTGTGCACCTGTGTGTCAGCATCTTCGATGGCCTCGGGAGCTCTCTGTTGTACACCAGTACTGTGACACTCACCTGTCTGCTTTTGGAACCTGCTGTCTCTCAATGGACTGCAGGGCAATGATTCTCCCATGACATCCACACACTGGGTCCCTGGTGGTCCAGGGGCAGTACATTTATGTGGAAGGGACCCTGGCTCCATTCCAAAAGACACTTTGTGATGGGGGCTGTGAGACAGAGCTGGGGACATATGGGGGCAGGTGTGGGACCTCAGTCAGGGCCCAGAGACAGTCTCAAGAGTTTCAGAAATCTCCTTTCTACTTATTTTGCATGTTGTTAACAATGTATGAAAAGACCAGAACACTGTACAAGGCCTATCGTGTATTCGCTCATTTGCTTCACAATTGTATTTTGAAGTCAGGGGCCACCTGGGTAAATATCAAATGGATGAGCAGGCTGGGGCAAGAGCTTCAGCTTTAGCAAGGGCCTCAGCCCTGAGGAGAGCTGGGAGGTGAACAGAGTCCGACGAGAACTCCCAGGGTGCCGCAGGGCAGGGAGCAAGCCTAAGGATCATGGAGCAGGCAGTGAGTAGGACAGGAAGTTCTGTGGGTTGGAACACAGGCCGGGCAGCAGAGTACACCCTGGCCAAAGCACTAAGGGTAGGAAAGGGGAAGTGTTTTCCCAGCCTCAGATGAGACCTGGGGCGGAAGGTGCTTCATTTCCCTGCCACTCTCATTTGTGGCATTGGATTAGGTCGAAATGTCTCAAGAGTATCACCTCCTCTCCCAGCAACAGCCCTGGGAAAATCACTGTTCTTCTCGTTTACAAAATAGGAAAGTGGAGGCTAAAACATGTTCTGTGGCTTCCTCTGGTTGTGCATGGCAAAGATGGATTCAGACCCTGGCAGGACAGCTCCAGAGCGGGGGCCAGCATCCGGGAAAGAACGCTGCACTGGGGCCGAGATCAGGGTGCTTGGGTGCTGGGGGCGCATGTAGGACCACCCTGCAAACTTGGAAGTGCATGCTGAAGCACTGGGGTGTGTTTGGGGGAGGAGAAGCTCAGGGCAGGGGTTGTGGGACGGAGCTGCGCGCAGCAGCCGCACAGCACGGAGTGCTGACAGCGCTCCAGACCAGAGACGTGGTCTCAGTGTGAAATGCAGAGATGACATGCGGGTTACACATGGACATGTTCCTAAAGTTGCACCTAAATAAAATGCATTATTACAATAATTTTTGCCAGTTTCTCTTTTACTTTTTAAATGCGACTACTAAGAAGTCCTGAATGACACTGGTGACTCTCTTGTGTTTCTGTTGCGTAGTGCTGATCTGGAGCGCTAGAAGAGCAGATTACCCATGTTCATGGGGGAGGCCGTCATGACCTTTGGACTGACACGCCTTGGAAGGACCTCTAAGTGTCCTTGGCCCTTAGGGCATCTCTGGCACTCTCCTCTGAGACTTCACCTTTATTTGTGGCCAGAAAAGTTTGACAGCACTTGTAGTGTACAAAAAGGCATTAAGCTAAGAGGCTCCTTTCCTTTTAGTCTGTGGTGTTCCAAGATGAACAGTTACTAATATGGAGATTCTGATACATCCCCTTGTGATCTTTAACAACCGCCTTCTCCTAGCTTGCTTTGTGGTTCTGAGTCCCTCGTCTTATTTACTTTTCTATTGCAAATGTCAGAGGCTCCACTTCTGGGCTGTGCTAAAGCTTTTGTAGCTGATTCCTGGCCTGACCTTTATTTTTTCAGAGCTGTGGCCAGCGTTCCTTTGGCACTGTGTGTGCAGGGCTTGGGAGTAGGGTGAGGTGGGATCTTCCACAGCCCTCGGTAGCAGCTTCTTTCTGCAGCCCCATAGTGCACAGGCACACACACTGCCACCCAGACAGAAAGGTCAGGAAACGTGGGAGCACACAGGAGGACAAATTCTGCCTTCTTCTACTCCCTGCTACTGTGGGAGGATGAGGCCTTCTTCTGTGGGCAACCCCTTTGGTGCCTGGAGGAGACCCGCGTTGGCCACAGCCTCTTCCTGGCTGCTCAGTGCCAGGCACAGTGGGACCCTCATGCTTCTGCATCCCTAACCTCTCCTTGACTCTGAAGACAGTTATATC